AAGCCTAAAAATCAATTCTCATCTCTCGAATCTCGAATCAATATTGCTAAACTCATACAATTAATTCTGGCCAAACCTAATTGCATAGCATCAAATCAATCAATAGGAAAATAATTAAGCATTGACAATCAACAATCACAAATTACCCCTTCTTATTATTTATTGGATCCCCATAAACCCTAGAAATAAAACTACTCACGCATAATTAAATCTAAACTAATCAAAGCAATAAAATAAAACATGATGAAAGAATTAGAAAATAACTGAAATTAATAGAGAAGAAATCGTTACCAAATGTAATTTGAATTAAGAACAAGGTTGAGAGAATTTTAGTGAGAGAAAATATTCTAAGTAGAGAGAGAAGGTCTAAAAGAGAAGGTAAATAAAAATTACGTACTAAAATCGTGCTTAAACATCTCTAAAACAAATCCTAATTAAAACTAAGAACTCGGCAATCAGGTGCCTCCAAAAACACACGCCCGACCGGGCAAAGGGCCGCCCGATCGGCCCCGCCTTTTTCTTCAAGATTCTCCTGGGCAACCGCGCCTGATCAAGCTAATGCTCACCCGATTGGGCACACCTTTGTTGATGCCTTCTTCTGCGCGCCCGCCCGATCGGGCGCAAGCTTTCCCGATCGGGCCCGGTCTCTTTCTCGAGGCTTGGACTTCGATTGGGCTTGCTTCTTCGGCCCAATCCGGATTTCCTCTTCGGGTCTTGAATACTCGGTCCAAATGCCCCGGTATCACACACCGAGCCCTTAATCACCGGCTCTAACCGGTCCTGGGCTTCAAAGATGGTCGTGTCCTCCTAATGTCCGTAGTTACTCCATGAAAAACCCCGAAAACGCTCCAAATGTGCAATTTCCTGCACAAATCAAGCAAAACCACAAAAACACTAGAAACACCAATTAGTAATAAAAGTGGCTCTAAAGAGCCAAAAACACTACTAATTATGACCAAGGGACGGGGTAAAACACTATATAAATTGGACACATCAAACTCCCCCAAGCTAAACCTTTGCTTGTCCTTAAGCAAAGAGCTCATTAATGAACATATAAAACCCGCTTCATCCCTAGTAAACAAAATCAAGCACAAACGATTCAAGGCAAATCTAATGAACATGCTTCAATGTCAATCAATCTCATTCATCTAATCATTCTTCCTCCCCAACAATTGTCAAGTAGAGCAAACCACATGAGCATATAGAATTGAATACTAGTGCTCACACACTCAACTCTCATTTATGTGGCGAGTAAAAGATGTACTCGATCGCTCTCCAGCCAACTCCATTTAATGTGAACAATGCCCTCCCAACTCACACTCTCGTGTGTTTAAAAAGATGTACACTCAACCTACAAGTCGACTCGAAATATGTCAAATCATAACTTGCATTGATAAACAACACTTTCACATTCATACAACTCTATGCACAAAGGTCGAAAGGTCTTTAAAGCTTGTAATGTAAGGCTAGGTTAAAGGGTAGGATAAATTTAGGAAAATGTGAGATAAAAGCCATGCTTAAGGGAGCCATATCCTAACAAAACCTAAGGCCAAAACAAGTAATGACCAAATCATCTCCAGTCAAAACTTAACTCCACAAAAAATTCACCAAGCAATCCCATACAAAACAACAATACAACACTTACATATTCACTCACAAAGTATGATAATAGGAAATAGAGTGAATTAAAACAAACTTTGAACTCATTCTTTTTCTTTTCTTTCTTTTTTTCAAACTTGAACTTTTTTTTTTCTTTTTTCTTGAGAAATCTTCACATAGAACACTTTAACATTTGAAACAATTTTTTCTTTGCTCTTTTTTTTCTTTTTATCTCACATTGGAAATTTTCAGCTTTAATTTGAAACACAAACCATCAACATTTCCAATCATTCAATCAAAAGAACAATCACTCTTCTTTTAATCCCACATTGTGCAAATAAAGTGCACACCACAACTCCCTCACCTCACCAACTAATAGCTCTCCCAAGACAAACTTGGGACTAGTAACCAATGGGGCTCATATAGGCTTGTAATGTGGCTAAATAATCAATAAAAAGGGCACAAGCAACAACATGGGTAGCAAGAAGGGAACAAATGTATCTAATATCATCTGAAGACTACCTAAGAGAACAAATGCTTTCGTCCTCCTCAATGTGCATAATATTGAGCCATACAAACATTACTAATAGTTGCAAACCAATACTCAAATTCCTTGGCATACCAGGAACTATCACACAATTTCTAACCAAATCAACTAGTCAATCACTATATTCACAAATAGTTGGCAAAATTTACGCATGTTTAGGCATCCGAACAATTAAAATTCAAATCATGATCAACATTTTCACAAAGCTCACTATCATATACCAAGAATCAAAACAATATTTTCCAAGTATGGGACACAGGGAAGCATGATTTACAATTCATTGGAAAGTATTTTTTTTTGAATTTTTATATTTTTCAATTTTTTTGTATTTTTTTCATATAGGAAAGCAATAAAAACTAAACTAGAAAGCAATAAAGTCTATACTAGAAAGCGATAAATAGAGAAAAGAGAGAAAGAGTTACCATATGTATAAGATATCTCCCCCCAAGCCAAATCAAGGAATGCCCTCATTGACTTGGGGGTGTAGCTAGGAGAAGCTACTCCTCATCATCATCCTCATCCATCCTCTGATATCCTCCTCCATAGCTCGAGCCAGCACCACCCTGGCTCTACCGGCACCACCATAGCCCGAACCACCTGCAAAGTAGTTAGGGTCTACATTTCTCCCCATCCCCCCAAAAAGAGCATCGACCCCATAACCATGGATTGAAGAGTAGTATACATAAGTACCATAGGCTCCGGGGGTCGAATACCCTCCTTGGGGGTATTGGAACCAATCGGGAACTAATGCCTCGGGAGGAATAGCTACTCGGTGTGCATAATCGTCATACATGGGGTATAAACCCCTCCCGAGGTTCCTCTCTACTTGGCCAACCCTCCTATCTAGGGTGCCTAACCTAGAGTCTAGGTTTTGCACCATGCCCTCCGCTCTCCCTTTCCCTCTCTCAATACGGTCAAGTTGGCTTTTAAAAGCCGAAAAGTCATATGGGGCATGGGGGTCTATGTTGTAATCAACGAAGGAGGTGGGTATGCCATATGTGTAGGGTTAGGGTGGTGGTTGGTATTGGGGTGAAGGGTGGGGTTGTGGTGAATGGTGAGGCTCTTGAAATCCGCCTTGACCGTCTAACTTAAAGGTGTAGGAAGGCTTCCCCTTCTCAAATTTTGTCAAGGCGGGGTTGGGTAGCTTAAAAGCTTGGTCTCTCCTACCCGATTCCCAGTGGACTATCCACCATGTCTCACCTCTCATAGGTTGCACCCAATTAAGGCCCCCTAAGTATGCTAGGTCCATGAGGGTAGAACCCTCCACTTTCCTATGGCCGGTCGGGGTCCATCCTAGGTGTTTTACTGCTATATGGGTCACCAACCCCCCAAAATAGATAGGCGCCCTAGACCTACCCTACTCGGCCGCATTGGCCGCCCTTTGGAAATGTTGGGCTATCCTATGTGGTATGTTCAGTTTTTCAGCATTGGGAATCATATAGGAAGCCAACAATTCAAGTTCATCCCTCCTATTATTTGCCAGTTCATGCCTCCCAAAACTGTGAGGCCGACAAACCTTTGCCAAAACTTTGGGACGGGATGTTGAATCCACATCCCTTTGGCATGTTAGAGGTTGAGTAAACCCTCCCCGGTGAGTTTTTTATAGACCATGGCAATGTGGTCTTGGGAGGGTTCAATAGGTTTATCCGATTTAAGCTCAAACAATTTTCTAAATTCTTTAAAAGTTAAACGCACAACATTGTTTAGCAATCGGAATTGGACATGAGTGATCAAAGCATTAGTTTTAATAACATTGAAGCTAGAAACAAATTCTAAAGTCAAATAATCATAGGTGTCATAATGCATTTGAAAAAATCCACTCATTCCTATACCTTTGAACCATTTCTCTACCGGTTTATCAATTCCTAACCTAGACAAAGTAGGATGATGTACAAAGCGAGTAGAAATTACCTGCCTCTGGATGAGGTTAAGCATCCTAGCTCGTTGTTCGGTTCAGGTGATGACAACTTCATCCCATCCAAGAATTTGAAGCTCCGGGTCAACCATCGGTTGTTGTTGTTGCCTCGAACCTTCACCCCTTTATTGTCTTGATCTTTTTGAAGCCATTGTATGTATGAAAGGTAGGATTTGAAGCTTTCTCTCTCTAAGGATTTTGAGAAATCTTTAGATAAAGTGGTAGAAATTTAGTGGGGATTGTAGAGGAAGGTGTAAGGATGAATAATATGTAAACATTTTGGAGTTTTGATGGATGAATTTGAGGAGATCTTGAAAGGAAAGTGAGTTTTAAGGTTTGAAAATGGAGGTTTTAGAGAGAGAAAGTGTGAATGAAGAAGAAGAAGTAATAAGGAAGAAGAAAAAAAGGAGGGGAAAGGAAAATAAAAGCCCGGCCAAAATAGGCGCGCCCGACCGGGTGAAGATATGTGTTTCAGATTTGTGAAGTGCACGCCCGATCGAGCGCGAACTCAAAAAATTTTTTCGCCCTTTGCTTCGCCCGACATACCTCTTTACTTCACTCTATTTCTCCAAAAATCCGCTCGATCGGGCGAATTTCCCTTGATTTTTCTTCCTTCCTTGCGCGCCCAATCGGGAAAAATATGCTCCGATAAAATTCAAATTGCGAGCCCGATCGGGAATCCTTGCCCGATCAGGCCCGTACCCAAATCGGAACGCTCTTTTCTTCTAACTTTTTTTCTTTAAATATCCTTACTGTATGATCTAATACTTGTACAAAAACACTTATGAAAGGTAAAATTGCACTCTCCTCACCTCTCTAAAAAAAATAAATAAAAATAAAATAAAGGAAAAACTAGTCTAGAAAGCAAGAAATACGGGTTGCCTCCCGCAAAGTGCTGGTTTATCTAGGTCCCGCACGACCCTCTTACCACATTGAAGCTCAAAATGAACCGGAACCTCTTAGGTGAAGTAGTTCAAGTGCACCAATCGTAGCCCCCTCATGATATAGCTTGAGTCTTTGGCCATTAACCTTGAACTCGTTACCATGCTCATCAAATACCTCCACAAAACCAAATTTGTTAGCCCTTTTGACAGTAAAAGGACCCGACCACCTTGACTTCAACTTTCCTGGGAATAGTTTAAGTCTAGAGTTGAACAACAACACTTTATCACCTTCTTTGAACTCTCTCGGAAGGATCATCTTGTCGTGCCATCTCTTTGATTTCTCCTTGTAGACACGAGCACTATCATAGGCCGTCAACCTAAACTCATCGAGTTGGTTAAGTTAAAGTAACCTCTTTTCACCCGCTAACTTGACATCCAAATTGAGCTCCATAATAGCCCAATATGCCTTAAATTCTAATTCCACCGAAAGATGACATGCTTTGTCGTACACGAGTCTATATGGAATAATACCTATTGGGGTCTTAAACGCAGTTCTGTATGCCCAAAGGGTGTCATCCAAATTATCGCTCCAATATTTCCTTAATTTTGCCACCACCTTCTCTATAATGGCCTTGATCTCACGGTTGGAAACTTCAACTTGGCCACTAGTTTGGAGATGGTAGGTTAACCCTGTCCTATGGTAAACACCATACTTTTTGAGGAGGGTGTCTAACTTCCGCTCATGAAAGTGAGATTCTCCGTCACTGATTATAGCTCTAGGCATTACAAATCTTGGAAAGATAGTCTTCTTGAAAAGTCTGTGGACCACCTTGGCATCATTAGTAGGAGTGGCAATGGCCTCGACCCACTTGGATACATTGTCAACGGCGACAAGTATATAGCGGTTCCCGTTTGAAGAAGGGAACGGTCCCATGTAATCAACACCCCAAACATCAAAAATTTGAACACCTAAGATTTCAGTTTGAGGCATCTCATGCCGCCCCGAAATGTTGCCAGTCCTCTGGCAAGAGTCACAAGCTTGCACAAAAGTGTTAGCATCGATCCTTAAACATAGTAGGCCAATAGAAACTTGACTCATTAATCTTGGAAACTGTTTTGGTGGGGCCATGATGTCCTCTATATGGTGAGGTGTGGCAACTAGTAAGCACACCGTGAACTTCCCATTTGAGAACACACCTGCGAAATAATCCATTTGCACACTCACGAAACAAAAAAGGATCATCTCAAAAATAATGTTTAACATCAGAAAGGAATTTCTTTTTCTGTTGGTAGGACAAGTCAGGAGGTAGAGTACCACCCACTAAATAATTAGCAAGACCAGCATACCAAGGGTGTTGCTCTAAAACTGCATGCAGGTTGTCATCAGGGAAAGAATCATCTATAGGGAGAGAATCCTTACCCTCATCATACTTGATACGTGACAAGTGGTCTGCCACTACGTTCTCTGCTCCCTTTTTATCTTTTATCTCAATATTGAAATCCTGGAGCAAAAGAACCCAATGGAGTATCCTAGGCTTTGATTTCGCCTTGGCTATCAAGTACTTCAGAGAGGCATGGTCAGTAAAAACAATGACTTTAGAACCAACAAGATATGATCTAAATTTTTCTACAGCATAAATCACAGCAAGAAACTCCTTCTCCGTAGTGGCATAGTTGACTTGGGCTTCATCCAAAGTTTTGCTTGCATAATAAATAGCATGCAAAACTTTGTTCTTTCTCTATCCGAGCACGGCTCCTAGGGCAAAGTCACTTGCATCACACATAATCTCGAAAGGTTGATTCCAATCGGGAGCACATATGATGGGTGCCGATATCAAAGCCTGCTTAATCCTGTTAAAAGCCTCAAGACACTCGTCTGTAAAAATAAAAGGGGCATCCTTGAGTAAAAGCTGAGTCAGTGGTTTAGCAATTTTAGAAAAGCCTTTGATAAAGCGACGATAAAACCCTACATGACCTAAGAAACTTCTAACTCCCTTAATATTAATTGGGGGAGGTAATTGCTCAATCACTGAAATCTTAGCTTTATCTACTTGTATACCCTTATCAGATACAATGTGACCTAGAACTAGACCTGTACACATGGACGGGCCCCCACTAAAAGCCCTGATCCAACCCTAAATTAAAAGGGCTGAGCCCGTCCATTAAACAAATGGGCCGGACTTTTAAAGGGGCATCGAGTAATGGACTTTTAAAGGTTGGGTAAGGTTTTAAAAAGGGACCTAAAAGGGTCAGCCTTATAGGGCTTTTTATCCTCAATATACTTTCAGTCATGTTGATTTTCTGATTCTCTATCTTCTAATTCTCTCTCCCCACTAAAATATAAATCCCCAAAACATACCCAAATTATAAACCCTAAAATTCGAGCTTCAAGCTTCAACATAGTCTCTCTCCTCTACTCTCTTGTGCAAGATCTGAAGCAGAAGCATAACACTTCATACTAAATTCGTCTTTGTCACATAAACCGAATCTCCTCTTGACTAAAAACACACAAAAAAATACCAAAAAAAACCTCAAAAATGGCAAAAATGGACAGATTTGTGATTAAATGGGTCATCAATCATTTGGTTATGGAGAAGGTGGTTTCAATTGGGTAATATGAATATATTTGTTGATTATTTGGCTAATTTGTACTATTATAAAAAATAAATTATGAAAGGTGGTTATAATTGGGTGAAAGGATTATATTTGTTGATTAGTTAAGTTCTTTATGTGTCTTAAAACATTCTAGAAAAAGCTGCCAATTGTAGTTGCAAATTGAGCAGTAATGAGTACTGGTGTTTAGTAAAGACGAAGACCCAAGTTTTAACTTATTAACATCTTTTAACTTACAAGTGAACTTGTTTGCTCTAAAAGGTCCTTTAAAGGCCCATTTAAAAATCCTTTACAATATTTATATGGATCGGGCTGGGCCGGACTCAATGATCCATAACCCAGCCCGGCCCATTTTCGATTATCTTTGGCCCTAGTCCAGCCCAGCCCAGTTTAAGTAAGGCCCAGTCCAGCCCGGATCCGGCCCGTTGAACAGGTCTACCTAGAACTACTTCCTCTGTCACCATAAAGTGATATTTCTCCCAATTTAGCACCAAATTGCATTCTTACATCGTTTCAAAATTTTAGCGAGATTTATTAAACATGCATCAAATGAAGAACCATACACGCTAAAATCATCCATAAAGACTTCCATGATAGACTCTATGAAATCAGAAAAAATGCTCATCATGCGACGTTGAAAGGTAGCGGGGGCATTACATAAACCAAAGGGCATCCTACGATATGCAAAAGTACCATAAAGGCATGTAAAGGTAGTCTTTTCCTGATCTTCAGGGTGAATTGGAATTTGGAAAAATCCCGAATACCCATCCAAATAGCAAAAGAACTTATGGTTAGCTAACCTCTCAAGAATTTGATCTATAAAGGGGAGAGGGAAGTGGTCCTTTTTAGTGGCGATATTTAGTCTACGATAATCAATGCACATACGCCACCCTGTAACAGTTCTAGTGGGGATTAATTCATTTTTCTCATTTGTAATCACAGTCATCCCACCTTTTTTAGGTACTACCTGCACAGGACTTACCTACTTGGATTCAGAAATAGGATAGATAATACATGCATCGAGTAATTTCATAACCTCTTTCTTGACTACTTCTTGCATATTAGGATTTAACCTTCTCTAGGTTTGAATGTATTGCTTATAGTTATCCTCTAAATGTATCATGTGCATACAAAAATCAAGGCTAATACACTTGAGATCATCAATACCGTACCAAATTGCTCTCTTATGGGTTTGAAGAACCCCTAGAAGTTGGGAAGTTTGTAGGTCATCAAGTGCAGTACTGATGATCACGGGGTATAGTTCCTGCTCATCAAGAAAAATATATTTTAAATGAGAAGGGAGAGGTTTTAGTTTAGGTTTCTTAACCTCTGCAGGTTTTGATTCGTGAACTAAATTTACTACCTTCATTGTCTCCTTGGGGTGTAACTCTTTTAGGGAAAGAGCTTTTTCAATATCTTGTACTTCATTACCCTAGATGCTTGCATTATCTGCAGATAAATTCCCACAAAGAATTTCCTCCAAGGGATCCCTTACAAGAACATGTGGCAAGCTATCATCACAAACATCATCCATTATATCAATTACATCAATAAGACAACAATTTTCCTCTAACATAGGTCCTTTCAAAACTTTCCCTAAATTAAAAGTAACATTATCATCACCAACAGAAAGGGTAAGTTTACCATTTTTGACATCGATAAGGTCTCCTGCAGTATGGAGGAAAGGCCTACCTAATACAATTGGAATTTGTGTATCCTCAGCCATGTCTAAAACAACAAAATCAACAGGGATAAAAAATTTACCAAATCTGACAGGGACATCCTCTAAAATACCTAGAGGGTATTTTACAAAATGATCTGCCATTTGTAAAGTTATATTAGTAACTTTTAAATCACCCATATTAAGTTAAGCACAAACAGATGATAGCATAACACTGACACTGGCACCCAAATCACACAAAGCTTTATCAATAAAAACATTCCCTATATGACAAGGGATAGAAAACTACCAGGATCCTTTAATTTAGGAGGGCATTTATTTTTCAATAAGGCACTACATTCCTCTATAAAAGCTACAGTTTCTACCTCATTAAAGGCCCTTTTCCTAGTCAGAATGTCTTTCATAAATTTAGCATATGTAGGAACCTGAGTGATTAAATCAGTGAAAGGAACTGTTACCTGCAAGTTTTTCACAACCTCCAAGAACTTACCGAATTGTTTATCAAACTTAATCTTCAATTGTCTGTTAGGGAACGATAGTTTGATAACTGGGCTCTACACATCTCCTCCTTTATTCTGAGATTTACCCTGCAAAGCAACATTAGAAGGGTTAGTATCTTTTTTTAGCCCTGTAGGGTTAGCAGGATTAGCGTTTGGTATAGAGGAATCTAGATCAGGAACAGGTGCATCTTCCTTTGGCATAGGAGGTCCATCATAATGTGAACCACTCCTTAGAGTGATTGCATTGGAATGATATGTGGGATGGATTGGTTGTGATGGTAGAGCTCCCTGCTGACGGGTTTGTAGGGTAGATGAAAGTTGTGCAATTTGATTATCCATGATTTTATTATGAGCTAAAATTGAATCAATTTGCGCATCCCTACTCTCCATATGCTTTTGCATGTTGGTAAGCATTGCTCTAATTTCTGTCACAGCAGGTTTAGAAGATGATGAGGGTTGTGCTTGGTTTTTCTGGCCAGAATTAGGATGGTAATATTTTTGTTGTGGTGGAGGTTGTTGTTGTGGTTGTTGTGAAGGTGGAAGGTTTTTTACATTGGTACTCCAGTAAGAAAGATATGGATGGTTCCGGAGACCAAGATTATAAGAGTTGGAGTATGGGTTATTTTGCCTATAGGTTTGAAAGGCATTTACTTGTTCCATGGAACTCCTACAATCTTGCTCCCAATGCCCTACAATTCCACAATTTTAATAAAAAGCTTCATTGTTAGCAACAGCAGAAACATTAGCTATAGAGTTAGGAGTAGTAGCAAGATTCTCTAGTTTTTGACAAATAGATGTTAACTGAGATTGCAAAAAGGATACGAAATCAACATTTTGTTTTCCTTTATTTGCAAACCCTCTAGGATTCCTTTATTAGGAATTGTGTATTGCCATATCTTCGATAACCTGTCCGGCATCATCCACATTTAAATTCATGAATCTCCCACTAGCTGCAGAATCTAGAACTGATCTAGATGAATTTTCAAGTCC